ACTCTAAATTACAGTTACAATGAATATTAGTACAATATTTTTAAGTTTTAGAAAAACATGCGAATGAATCACTAAGTCAGTGTACCATGTTTGAGCTATGTTAAAAATTGGAATCTTGCAAAGTTTGCAATGGGTGTACCACTAATAACGTGTGTATTTAGCAAGTCATTTGCGTATAAGTCGTATATTGCTGTGTGTATGACACAAATATCAGTTGTCATGAAGTTAACAGTCTGCGTGCCAGGTCCCAGGTCCAGATAGTAGCTTGAAGCTCAATCGATACATTGAGTTGCGTCACCGCCCGTTCAGCTCCACGGTGTAAGTGCGTAATTCGTCTGGTCCTTTGACCCAAGATTCGCCAAGTAAATGTTTGACGGTGTCTGCTTGCGTCGACAAACAGTATCGAAGGGGCTTAGCCTTTAAATATCTTAGTACCCTGCTGGGTTTCCGTGTACAGAACATTGATTGTTACCCAATTTGTTCGATTTAGCTTCAATTTACAAATTTCAATATTTTTGTTCCTTTATCGACGTGATGTGCATGGATTGTAATTACTTAGTCTTCTGTATGTAGGCACTCAATTTACGATATTGCCTCTTCTTAATTACATGTATCAAAATTCAAGACAGCTCATCGATCAAGTTGACCAAGAGTAGGTACTGGAATCAAAATGTACGTGCCTAGAATGATCGCATCGACTTCCATTCCAGATTTGGCCGATCCTTTCCTCTGGTTTGCATGTTCAATTAGGCAAGTACCTACCTGGCAACCCTTAATATATTTTGTCAATGTGAAATGTTTATTTAGAGACGACGTCGCCATAATTCATCACGCCCTAAGCTTTTGAGCAAATAGCTTCATATGTGGGAGTGTAGGGGAGGCGGAGACTGCGACGAACCTTCACTAATACGATTGCGTCGCAAAAGGGTTCTTTTCGGCGTTGACGTTTGCTATTAGGAATAATGAGCATGGCGTATGAGGTGTCGACATTTTAAATAGTAATTAGTGTCAATTGGAACACGATTGTGTTAGCTATCGGGTTGTTGAAATGGTCAGGTTAGTGAGGATTGTGTTATTTGCGGTGTAGGGTGCGCGTCAGCAGTGCGCGCAGCGCGGCGTTAGATCGAAGGCTAGGGGGAGCGTCACGCGCATGCTCCGCCGCGGGGTCTCCGGCGAGTCGGCCGGCGGGCCGCAGTCGCACCGCGGAACCGCACGCGACGCGCCATGTCGGCCGGCGCTGCTACTTGACGGAGCAACCAGCTCTTTGGAAAACAAACCTTGTGAAATCGCGTTTCGGATCGTCGCCATCGGTCGCAACCGCACGGGGATTCGGGTAAGTCCGTAGCGGATCCGTTAACGCCTCATGTAATCGTGCCGAGTGCAGTGCCCAAGGTTAAAGGCTTCCGATGTGCTTTTCCCGGATACCGATCTGCGATCTCGACGGTTGTAGGTGGCGCTAGTGAGCGCGGTGAGTCATCTCTGCGACACGTTTTTTCATGGCCGCCCCTTCGATCTCGTTTGCGATGTTAGGCTAGCTGGAGGGTTTGGAAGATGTTGGTTGCAGTGGATGTTACGTAAGTGCGTTGGTAGTGCAGTGGCCGTGGTGGCCGACGCTTTCGATACGCTCGGTGCGCACTCGACCGCGGCCAATTACAGCACGCGAGGATCGTTTTCAGGAAAACATTCACCATTTTGTACGCGCGGCTCGTGGGACACACTGTGAATATTGTGATCTACGTCATGACACCCTACTACTCTGTGCCTCGTATACCGCCGGGATATACCAGTGATATTGTTCTATAGTGCAAGTGAATGTCTTTATTCGGAATTCTCTAATTGTTTGTGCTGTTTCATAATTACATAATAAATCGGAGCCATCAAAAGAGCTGGTAACGTTTCTATTTGTTTACTAAATTGATAAATATTGGGAATAAATAATGCATATAAGTAAAATTGTTTTTAAATTATGGAATTTGGATACAAAATGAATACTGGAAATTATATTTTAGACAATTGTAACAATAATTTTAAATTTTACAAATTATCTCAGTAAATGTTAATAATTATTCATTTCAATAAAAGAGATTCATTATCTCTGTCTTTAGTTCTTAATCTAATTAACTTTATCAGATAAATGCGTAAAATATTACACAATTTAATCAAAGGTGCTAATTAATTGCAGACGTAATGTTACAACTATGCGTGTCGATCATTACGCACAAATTACGAAATTACGCATAGTTATGTAAAAATCTTCGATATATTAAAAAAAAATCAATAATTTCGAATGAATTGTATTTGTATAACTTGACATTAGTAATACTAACACAATAAACTACTTAAATCCATTGTAGGGCATAAAACGGATCAGCTGAGAAAGCACGCGCAACGGTCACGGCGCATGCGCGAGCCATGACGTTTAATTCAAATTGAACGGCAGTTACATTCGAACGTTGGACGCAAAAAATGTACCGTAATAACATCTCTGTAGGTAAAAAATATATCAGGAAGTTTTTGAAATCGATTACTTTGTCATCAAATATCAATTAACGGAAAGGGTCAACATAAAATTTTAAAAGGTTTTCAAGAAGCACATAGCTTGATGCGACCGAAATCATTATCATTAAGGTAAATAAACAAACATTTGTGATGACTTACAAACCCTTAACTTGACTTTAATTACCTCTGCTCAAGGATTGAATGAAAAATATTCTGCCATTTTTCTCTCTGCTTTGAATCAACACAACACATACACAAAAAACCCTCGATTTTCATTTCCATTTTCTCCGCTCATTGAATAAAAGAAAAATATTCTGGCATTGATCTTAATATTCATATTAATGAACTTACCAATACAGAATCTTTGATTCAACACAAAGAAAACACTTAAACGGTGCCTCAAGAAGCCGACCTCTCATTAAAAAAATCCTAGCTCCCCTTAATTCAAAGGGCTTAGAATCTCGAATGCCATCGACAGCGTCTCAATGACGTCACGGAAACATTCCAGAACGTTGGATAATTGTTATTGCCTGTGAAATCGCCTAGAGGAGTTAGCATTTGCTTTCCAACCCTCCCACGCGACAACCTCATTATGCCACAATTCTACGAGCTTTATCCCCTTTTATTCCTCTTTTAAACGAATATTTCGTTCCATTGCCGACTTTTTATTATAATTCCAACGCTTTGGGTGTCCAAGGACCAGTTATTGCGTAGTTCTTGGATTCCTGTATGAATTTATTAAAAACTGGTCTTCTATTGCTCCTTCTAGTAATAAAATCGTGTTTTGGCCTGAAAACATTAGTTCCGATCCTTCCTTTACTTTTGGTGACTTATTGAATCTAGAAGTAGAAGCAATGGGCAATGACTTCGCATAAATGTGATGAATGTGAATAAAACGTATGAAAGAAACCGCTTCAAATCGTAAAACCACTTTAAATTATGATCTAGCTTTATTGCTTTGTTCCAGTTTGTATAAATGATTACCTACTGAGTTAAGAGCTATGCTAGCATACAATTTAAATTACGCTATTCGACTAGCATCTTAAGTATTTCATACGTCATCGTTTTTTACTGTACCGTGTACCCATTGAAAGCCTTTTCTTTAAGAAATGAAAACGAAATTAGAGCTTTATCTTCTTTTACATTAATTTCAAATTCATTTGAATTCAATAATGCAGTAGTCTCGGTCGATGACATAGAGTAGGGGTTTGGTCGGGTTAATGTAACTGAGCAAGAAATCGATGAGGTTGTGACGATTGCAACCTGCTTGGTAATCTGTATTGAAATCGATGTTTGTATTCGATTGGAACTAATTGTTCTTTCTTTGATCTTCTTTGGTAGAATTGGTACGGAGTCTTACTTTACCATGATCATCAGTATGCTTTACCTGTTCTTCTTTGTCTTTTGTCTTCACCACTCGCTGAAGGTGACACTTACCTTATCATTGGGAAGAATCCTCATTGGATTTTTAATTAAAATAAAAAATAATGTCTATTGTAATCACAACGTTATTGATCGTTTATTAAATCAACATTTTCATTCAATGGCTCACCACTCACTATGACAGCTGTAAATAGTTTTGGCTAATTTATTTTAAGTTTTCCAAGTCATTCTAAGTTTAAAACTCTTTTGACCTTAGTCACACCTCAGGTCAATACTCGAATGACCTAAGAGATGTTCTTTAGAAAATATTTTCAATCTCTTTAACCTGATGTTTGGATTTCAATGGGATCGTTTTATCTAGGTAATTTTTCACTTGTATTGTATCCATTATTTGGAAAGGGTATTAATTTTATTATTGCAGTGTTTCTTTTCTCTGAAAATGAATTTTGTCGAGTCATGTTTTTGGAGAAGATTATGAACTGTATCGACGTGGCTTAGAAATGAAGTATCTACAATGTGTGAGATTACTTTGTATGAAAGATATTGGTTATACGAAGAGGCCAAAACTAGTGTTATATTACATGTTTTATAAAATGTGTTAGAAAGAATCAATGGTGTTAGTTGATATTATTTCTTTTTAATCCCATCCAAGAAGGATGGAATTTTACTTACTCTATTTATACAGTTTGTTTCGGTTGGTGTCGTCGTCGTCGATAGTAATGTTCATACTCAACTCGCAATACTTTAAAATATTTAACCAAATTAAGACCAATATATTTTTAGTTGGGTTTTTTAAAAGGATTTCAGTTGTAGCATGGAGTCTGGAATTGTCCCTGGTATATGCGATAGGCTCACCCCCTATTACATGGGCATTAACCCTTTGAGTACTGTCATTATAGACGCAATTAAAGAACAATAGGTTGCGGTCACCGGTGTCCTCGCGGTGTTTGACAGTTTAAGTGCCGTAATGTGCACCTCTGCCTCACCTTTCGGGGATAAAAATGTATGTTATGTTATTTTTAGTTTCGTGTAATAATTTTGTAATTTTGTTCCAGTTGTAAATCCGGCCCCGTACCGATGCACTAGTGGTTGTCGAGCGAACTAAAGCCACAGCCGCCATGTCGTCGGTAAAGGTGGCAGTGAGGGTTCGCCCCTTCAACTCCCGGGAGATTGCCCGGGAATGCAAATGCATCATTGAGATGTCCGGAAACACAACAGGTAAGAAAATTTACTTTTTAAGGCATTGGCTGCCAATAAAATACTGTTGAAGGCAAATCCTCCGCTAATGTCGGTCACCGGTGACTGCCATGGCGTTTAACGTGTTAATTGACAATTGTGCTTTGAAATTGGTATTAAAAAACACAACAGCTTCATCGAACTGTGCGAGATGTGTGATGTGTGTGTGAGATGATGGAAAAATTTAATAATCGCCGTGTTAATTTTGAAATAATTACATTGGGTTTTTGGCAATCATCAAATCTATGTGAATATTCGGTCCTGTGAGAGATTTTACTTCTTATTGGATCCGATAGAATAGGAATTAGAAACACGGGTCCATTGAAGAGAAATCAGTCAATCAAGAGAGATCAGATCAAACAGTTATACTTACACATATTTATCTATAACTATAAATAGCGACCCGCTCCGGCTTCGCACGGGTGCAATATGCATGTATTACACATATAAACATTCTTTAAGAATCACTCTATCTATTAAAAAAACCGCATCAAAATCCGTTGCGTAGTTTTAAAGATCTAAGCATACATAGGGACACACAGACGGCGGATAGCGCCTTTGTTTTATACTATGTAGTGATGTATAAAGAACACTTGAATGTACAACGTACCTATAAAACTATCAATCTTTTCACATTTTCGTTGTCATACGATTATATTTGAGTGCTATAAGCTTGATGTATTATATCCAATATAACATACATATTCAAAGCCAGATAAACTATAGCTTAACGAGGTTTTGGTGGCTCAATAACTATTACTACATTTTACATTTTATAGTAATTGAGGCCTTTGAGACTTACACGGTATTGTACTTTCCGAGTATGAACCCTATAATTAAGTTGAGTAAATTTTTTGTTCTACGGTCATCGCCTTTAGACAAATGACATCTCTGCCATAGCCACAGATTACATGATAATAGTCTGGTTATGACAATGAGTTTGACCTTTAACTTCATGGAACTAATCAGGGAATACACATGAGCATATTCCTATACTACTAATAGTCAAAGGTCCGGTCGATGAATATAAAACCGGCCATAATCAATCAAGGAGACATTGGTCTTTTCTATATTCCTACTAATTACTTTCTTTTCTAATCTTTCCTTCAATCTTTAGTTTTTTATTCGCCATGTCACCTTGGAAGGCTATTAAATTAGTTACCGTCCACGCAGCCATAGATAACGAAGATTGACTTGTACATTGCAATAAAACCACGCCCTTTAGACCTTCGTTACTTATGAAGTAGAAATGAAAGCTAAAGAAAGGAACCTTAATGAAGACCAATTGGATTTGAAGAACACTTGAATGTTCTTTTGGTCCCAAAGGGTCTTTTTCGATCTAATATCTGTTATTTGTTGTTGAATTATTTGTTATAATTAAATAGTCATTCCTTGCGGAATGAGTCGTTGAATTGATATTGTATTAAAAATTGTCATCGTGAACATTTTTTTTTCTTCTTTGGCAACCGAGTCTCCAATACGATGTTGTCGACTATACTGCCAGTGTCGGGTATCATGAACATTATTTAAGAGTTTATGTGCATCTTTTTTTCGGATAGACGTTTATTGAATTACATTCTGAAACGTCTTAAAAATAAATTCGTGGATAAAACTGAAAACATTTTTTATTTTTCAACAATGCAAGCAGAATTTCAATAAGTAAGCTAATAACGTTATTCTTTTTCGCAACAAATTTCTAAAGGAATTTGATAATTAAAATACTTGCGCAGTACTAACATTGTAGGCGCGAAGTACACGTACAGTTAGAAGGTCGCGAACGAAACCTTACAAGGGAACAATGTCAGCAGAAATCAATCGAGCTGTTTACTAATAGGGATGTTTAAACTAAGGCAAAGCTAATACTATATACGTAACACCAAAAAACCTTTACCGTTTATGTAAAGGAATCCCCAAAATTCCAAAAGACCTTTAATCTTCTGTAGCAGAATGTCCGCCATATTTTTCATATTAAAGTCCAAAATTAGGTCAGAATTTTTCCACAAGTGTTTAATTTCAACATTCTGCAGCATTCCCAAAATATCCTCACTAAAGGAGAACCTCAACTTATTAACAAAGTTCTTTGTTACAAAAAATAACCTCTAATTTTCAAGGGTCCTACAAAAATAACTCGAGGGAGCCTCGCGCTCATGTGAAGAGCTCCATACTTCAACTGTGGCAAGTTTTAAATTTATTACCTACGGCGTACACAGTATATTTTCTTCATAGGATATACGACTTTGTAGTTTGACACTAAAGGTCATTTTACTTTTATCGAAGCGAAGCTAATGAATTTATGCTACTTTTAAATAATCTACCCTACATTTCTGCGGTCTTTAGGGAAAGAACATTTTGAACATTGTTAGCAGAATTTGGGTTTTTATGTAAACATCGCAATTGGAATATCAAACAATGGAAACAAATAAAGTGCTTCAAATTTTATAATGAGAGCCCTTGTCTGTACCTACTCTTTACTAAAACGTTGCTTTCAAAAAGTTTACATCTATTGTATGAAAAAATTGGAGACGGATTTTTGATATTCTATTAAATTTATGTTTCACAAATTTTCAAATCGAAATAACAAAAAACTTGAGATTTCTGAAGTAAGTGAATGTAATCGGAGGAATGAACATAACGATATATGATAATGTACTTTGAAGTTTGGGAGTTGTTTGTTTTCAAAGACATTGGGGCACGTACTTTTGGACTAAAGATCATTGAACTCAAGTATGAATATGGTAAAAATGAAATATGTTAAGTCAAAAAGACTATAAAACCTTTTTCAGGTATAATCAAAACCAAATACTTATATAAGAACTGCAAACTATGCCAAAACCATAAATTTAACATTTTCACTCACAATATCGACTTCATCGCTTCTATATTTCATTTCAAACATCTTACTAAAAACATTTCTACCAATTACGCCTATTAACAGCTCGGCGACTGGTCTGAATGTGGCGTCGCAGTTGAGGGAGCTCCCATTTCTGTGCACTGCCTCTCCTAACGAGGTAGGACCTCGTTAGTGTTAAACTGCCACGTCACTTGCATATTTCATGTACATTTCCCATTTGGACGTGTTTTCCCAAACGCTTAGGTGTTTTGATGAGTGTCTGTATCAGTGTTGACGTGTTTGGCTTTTGCATCTTGCTTGTTATTAAAACTTGCTTGTAGATTACAAATAAACTGTACATTTTCTTTAACATCATCTGATACTACCTGTTCAGTTATATCGTTGGCAGCTTCAAAACGATTTTCTTCTTTGATTCAATTTAAACGTATCGATCTCCATAAAATTCCACGTCTGATTCGTATACAATAATCCCGCATTAGCTTTCAAGTTCATTGTCACGTCTCCATATAGCGGGGGTGTTAAATCGACGAGTCGCAAACGACTAGGTATGACGTCACAACATGCGTCACACATAATATAAAGCTTGGATACCATTAATATGCATTAGCATGAACACTTAAAAAAGCTAACGCAAATGCTTTCACACCTATTATACTTAACAACAATGTTTATAGGGATTTAGCAATAGATTTGATGACTATATTCAGTAGTATATTTAACATAGATTCGTCAGTATGACTAATGACTACACTAAAGTCAAAAGTCGAACAGACGAAGCCATTTAATACTAATTTCACTGTAAACATGTGACTCATAGTTTCTCCAAAATCCACCCTTGCATTGTTTAAACCACCCCTGATTTGATTTTCATGGTCAGGTGTTTGGAATTCGAAAATCATTCCGCGCCTACGCCCCGGATTCTCTCCCCCATGCGTTTCAATGGCCTATAAACCCCATAATGCCCCATAAACCTTGTCCATGGACCGCTCCATACCTCTCGTAAATTCACCGCAGTTTCGCTACCTCCTTCTAAATGATTCGCGTGGTTTCATTTCATTTACTTCGAAGTTGGTTGATTGGGTTTATTTTAAGTAAAATTTTTCTTTTGGTCTAATTTTTTTAACCCTTTCTAGTTTGTGTTTGGTAAAGTTTATCTACGTTCGCATTAGTCTTATTGATTCCTGTCTTCTATCCAAGTGGGCAAGTGGGCGTGTCCTTACACCTAACGTCTCAACGTTCTCAAAATGGCGATTCAATTGAAATAATGACACATATTCATTCATAGATTTAATATCTCATTATTTTAAAGGGAACGTGTTCAGTTCCTTGTTTACATGGGCTAATAAAACCGTAATGTCACATAAAGTTTTATTGTGTTACCGCTTGTTCGAGTTACGTTCAATACGTGGTACGAGTGCGTTGCGTTTTATTTTCCATCAGAAAAACATTTGCATTATTTCGTTTTATAAATCTATGAAAATACTATATTATAAAGAATTCACACACTTTCAATGATTATTTTGCAGTCGGATACCGTTACCGAATTGTTTGTTTTTTGCCAATAGAATGTATTTGATTACTTAGTACTGTTCTGCCTTCACCTATCAGACAGATACTAGCGTTACATATTTTAGTTACACATAGTCTTGTAGTAAGTAATAATTCTCTAAACTAAGGAATCAAGTCTAATCTCTAATTTTATCAAACAATGCAAGCCATTTTTAACAGTACCATTCAAATAATTATCAACAATTAGACATTGCAAAGCAAACTAGACCTATTAACATACATTAAAACGTTCTTAAAATCTAAATTGTAGTAAAATAGCCTGGTATAGTTTGCAGTAGACCATGTTAGGCACGCGGCCACACGCAACCCTGTGCTCGGTTAGCATTTATGCTGAAATGAACATGTAGGTTGAATATTGATCAAGGTCCGTGCTTTGTATCTTGAAACTATTATTTATCTGCTTGTTTATTTGTTATTTTATTATTAAAACTGATGTCTAGTTCTGATTTTTTATATCTTTTACTTAGTAACGTATAGAATTTAAACTTGATTTGCAAGAACATTTATTTTCTTCTTATAAGACAAATTTCATCCATTAGTGAAATCTAATCAAGCCTCGACA